TATTTATAACCCCTGTATGAACAGTGCTCGCGAGACAGCGTTTGCTGTCTCGCTGGCCGAGACAGTGTTTGCTGTCTCGCCCAGCGAGACAGTAAATTTGCTGTCTCGCCCAGCGAGACAGTAAATACTGTCTTGGAAAACGAATATTCTTGACAGTTTCTCGCTGTAACTGCCTTCCCACGTTTTAAACTCCGTTATTCTGGTAGTTATCAACGTGATTCTCGCCCACGACGTTCCCCACGTTCTTGAACAGTTGGTGGCCACGTGTCGGTGGTTGCAAAACAGTTTCTTGAAGAGGCTGATTCGTGGTAGGTGGCTATGCAGGAGGAGATGGAATCTCTTCATAAGACAGATACATGGGAGCTTGTTGAGCTTCCAAAGGGGCGGAAGGCAATTGGTTGCAAGTGGGTATACACGAAGAAGGAGGGCATTGAGGGCACTCCATTGAGGTTCAAAGCTAGGTTGGTTACGAAGGGCTATGCACAGGAGGAAGGTATTGACTATAATGAGGTTTTTTCTCCGGTGGTGAAGCACTCTTTGATTCGGATTCTACTAGCTTTGACGGCACAGTATGGTTTGGAGTTAGATCAGTTGGATGTGAAAACGACATTTCTTCATGGTGATCTTGATGAAGAAATATATATGACTCAGCCATTGGGATCTCGAACTGCAGGGAAAGAAAAATTAGTTTGCAAACTGAAGAAATCGCTATACGGTTTGAAGCAGTCTCCTCGACAGTGGTATAGGCGATTCGATGGTTTTATGATTGGTCATTCGTACACTCGGAGCCAGTTTGATCCTTGCGTATATTTTCGCAAGTTGAAAGAAGGTGCGTACATTTATTTGTTGCTCTATGTCGATGACATGTTGGTTGCCTCTATTTCCAGGTCGGCTATAGATGAGTTGAAAGTTCAGCTTTCAAATGAGTTTGAGATGAAGGACTTGGGCGAGGCGAAGCGCATTCTAGGGATGGAGATCGGCAGAGATAAGAAGAATGGCAGAATTTGTTTGACATAGGTGGCTTATTTGAAGAAGGTTCTACAGCGATTCCATGTTAGCATGCATACGAAGCTAGTTAGTGTACCTTTGGGAGCTTATTTGAAGCTTTCAGCTGGTCTTTCACCAAAGTTAGTTGAAGATCGTGAGTTGATGTCGAAGACTCCATATGCGAGCGCAATTGGGAGCTTGATGTAAGCGATAGTATGTACGAGACCAGATTTGTCACAAACAGTAAGCATGGTATCGAGATATATGCACGATCCAGGAGTGGGTCATTGGGACGCTGTGTGATGGATTTTGAGGTACATTCAAGGTACGCTCAATGTTGGTTTAGTTTATGAGCGGGACACTACAGGTGGATGGATTTTGAGGTACATTCAAGGTACGCTCAATGTTGGTTTAGTTTATGAGCGGGACACTACAGGTGGACAACTATGCATTGGTTATGTTGATTCGGATTATGCCGGGGATTTGGATAAGCGTCGGTCTACGACGGGGTATGTTTTTACTTTGACCCGTACGCCGGTGTGTTGGAGATGCACCTTACAGTTGACGGTGGCTTTATCTACGATGGAGGCAGAGTATATGGCAGTTACGGAGGCTGTAAAGGAGGCTATTTGGCTTCGAGGACTTTTAGAGGAACTTAGTATATCGCAGAGGTCCGTCACTATTCATTGTGATAGCATGAGTGCTATCTATTTGGCGAAGAATCAGGTTTTTCATGCGAGGATGAAGCACATTGACGTTCGTTATCACTTCGTTCGAGATGTTCTTGAAGATGGCGATGTGGAAATTGTGAAAGTCCACACGAAGGATAATCCGGCGGATATGCTCACTAAGGTGGTTCCGAGCAACAAGTTTGATCATTGTCGAAACTTATTGTATATTCGTGATTGTTGAGGCCGTTGGCGGTCATTTGGGTGAACTACGTTCGGCTTAATTCATTTGGCAAGAGGATACGTAGACAGTCATATTTGATGCAGCCGGTTTGGATTAGTTGATTTTGATGGGGGTGAGATTGTTTGGACTCTCGTTCGGGTTCTCGACTTGTTGTGGATTGAGTTCGTACTGGTCATAACAAGTGGGACATTTGGTTGTTTTGGTGTCGGCTCAGTTTTAGGAAAACTTCTCCGAGGTGGAGAATTGTGAACGCGGATAGAACATGGGGCCCACCCATGTTTACAAAACTGTGTGAAGACTTCACAAGAGCCCACGAACCCGATTCCTTGATTCAAAGCTATATAAATAGCTTCCTAGGGTTTCGTGTGATTGTGTGCAGGAGGGCGTGCAAAGGAGTTTTTTCCGGCTTGGTGTCTTTTGCGGCTACAGTGCAGGAGATTTGATTTTTGGTTTTGCGGCTGCGGATTCGTTTGGCGGCTGCATGGGGAAATTTGTGACGGGTGCAAAAGAAAAAGCAGCAGCTTTTGTTAGGGTTAGTGTACCCTTTTGTAGAGAGATATTGTGAGGGATTTGAGAGTTTGTTTGAGGGTTTAGTTTGTGAGTGATTGTAAACCCTAGTTGTATTCTCTCCCTCTATTAGTATATCTCCCCCCTCCTTGCCCCGAACCCTAGTTGTATTCTCTCCCTCTATTAGTATATCTCCCCCCTCCTTGCCCCGTGGACGTAGGCAATTTACCGAACCACGTAAAAATTGGTTGTATTGCTTTTGTGTGATTTGTAATAGCTTTTAGGATCCCTCGACAGGTCAGTCCTAGAACTGATGGGAGGAAGAGCTGATATCTCACTTTGTTGAGATATTCGCTTCAGATTCTTGTTTCCTTGGTGAGACAAGAATTCTTATTGCGACCTGACTCTCTTGTTATGCTGCCGAAGTGCTGCCGAAATTTTCGCTGCACGCAACACTTATCTCCACCATCTGCTTCATCCTCTTTTTTTTCTCCTTTCTTACTCCCTCTCCTCTTTCCTCCTTCTCAAAATCCTCACCTTCATCTCCTCCTCTTCCTCCTCCACCCATGTTCCTCCCCTTAACCTCTCTCTATTCTCTCATCTTAGTCTTCTCCTCTCTTTTACTCATCTCCTTTCCTTTCTCTCCTCTCTCCCCTCAAACACTAACTTAAAAAGTGAAGAAGGGAGTAGAGGACGTGGAGGAGGAAAGTGAGGGTAGTGAGGAGAGAGAGGTTGAAAAAAAAGAGAGTAGGTTTTTATGCGAATATTTTAATTTCGAGGATAAGTTTATAAGTGTTAGAGATATGGGGAATATATATGTAAAGTTTCATAATTTTTTTGCACAAATCAAAATTTCAGCCACCAGAGTCAGTTTAAATGGCTAACTGTGTCAATTTATATGTGTTATTGTCACCGGCGTCATTTTTAGAGGTCAAAATGTATCACTTTATAGGCTAAATTGGTATTTTAGCCAAATCTTTTAACTAGCCTGACAATGACTAGCCTAGCTAATTTCCTTTAATGGGCCTATTCCAGCCTTTTATAGGTACCCTATTGCGCTAATTTAAATGTATAGTAAATAGATATGAATAAAAAACATTTTAGTAAGTAGAGAACTTTCCCAAGTTACTCTGAAACACAATATATTTCACATAAGACATGGTTTACATGCTAAACTCAATGCTTGTAAAGAAAAATTTTTATAATCACATGTATTGAAAAAGATCTAATTGTAAGTAGACCGTAATAGGTCTTTTACTACTTTCGTACTCCACCACTCAAACATGTTTCTCCTTAAATTATTTTGTTATCATGATCCCTTTGAAGGTTTGAACTAAACAGGCTTAACTGTCCTTTTAATGGTAGTAGAAATAATTAAACGAAAAGGGTATTCTTGTAAGCAATAGTAATTTTAAAAATAACGTTATTTTACCATAGAAGCTACGAAAAGCAGAAAAGTTAAATGAGGGACTTGGACAGAATTTTCCAATAGGACTCAAGAACGAAGAAGCAATACCTGAAACTACTACAGAACACACGTAGATTGTAGAAAAAATGAGGAGGAAGAAGAAGAGCAATATACTGCGAAACAAATAGAAATTTGTGGCCATCTTTCATAATCTCTCTATACAAAAAAATTCAGTGTGAGAAAAGAAAAGCCGAGTTGGGTGGATTTATAGGGATCTTCAGAAATATAATTTGGCATCATCATAAGTATAAAATCCAAATACAGCATATTTACATTGATGTATGTTTCCTTTCAAGAGTATTGAAACACTTATAATTCTCTGTATTTCTTCATGCAATACACCTTTTTTGAGTTCTTTTTTTTTTATAATTGATGCACTTAATGGCAATACGCTCCTAATCTACCTCTATTAATTAAAAAGAGTTGTATCTTTTTTTGGGGGGTTTCTTCTTTCTTGTACCCTAAAGACTCCTGATAATAATGATAATACTAATAAAGTTAGTGGTCCTAAACTACCTCCACTAGACATGTCTTCATTAAATAATTCGGTCCCCGCCTGGTTCTTTTCTTCATTAAATTTTGATCGCATGTTATAAATTTGATGCGCGAAGTTGAAACTTTAGTACCGAAAGAAATACCTTTCAATGCTATTCCAATACTTTTGGATATCTCTCAACAAAATATTCTTTATTGAAGTGACTTTCCACGTGATCCTTAGATGGATATAGCTTTGTGAACATTTTCAAGAGAAAGTATTACCAATTGTTTTTAGTTTAATTCTATATCTTACTTGTATATAAACATGCAATAAAATGCAGGTACTGTTAAGTTTCAATACTTGTTAGATACAAGATGGGATAGAGATCATAGAGTGGCATCTCGCAGCAATTTGCATAAAATCCACAAAATGTTTGTATATTATGTATTATACAAACATTTACAATTTAAAAAAAAAAATACCAAACACGACACCTTCCAAGATTTTAGATTTGAATAAGGGCAATACACTGAAAAAATTGGTTCAATTTTCTATCTTCCAAACATATTGAGACTTTTCCTAATGTAAATTTATGAATATTAATTGTTGTCGGTAAATTTCAGGCAGCAATTTAAGGTTAAAATCATATGAAATCAATTCCAATGCAAAGATAAATAAAGAGACAAATTTCAGCAATATGCGTATGTAACATACAAACACAAACTCAAACTAAAATAACAAACATAAATCAAAGAACAAACATGGTTTATGTCTCTAACCTCTAATGCTCAGAAATCTCAGATTTTGTATTTCAGGAGGGGATCTTTAAAGGGAGATCCCTCATGATAAACAGTCCAAGCATACTCCTCAAATGAAAACGCTCTGAATCGTTTTCTTCCAAATTCATTCTCGACATCATCATCCTCAATCTCATTATCTTCAACGTTTGATCTGTTACCGCAATTTGATGATAATGGCGACAGTGGAGATACTGTGGAGCCTATCGGCAAAGTAACTAGTAATGACATAGAAATATTTTGTGAATTATCGCAATTTTCGGAGGATACGGAGTTATTTTGGTCCATGCCTCTTACTCTCTTGAATCTTCCATTGCTCCAAACCTTCATGACAAGAAATGAACAGAAGAAAATACTTCAGCATCAATGTGGGAATATGCGCCCATATGCTCTATTATAATGGGTATCATCGCCATAATATAAAGTGGGTGTGGCAAAATCTTATAACCACACTTGGCTGAGATTCAGTCTCATCATTGTATACTAGGGAATCATACGAACTGATCTCGTTCTCCCTTTATTAAAAGGGAGAACCTAGAACAGAAAGAATTTTGGTTATGGTCTTTTAAACTTTTTTCACAGTTATGGGTAAAATACTAGCTGAAGCAAAGATGCATAGACACTAGGTTACCTATGACCATAAGAAGCAGTACTTTTTCTTTTCAGACTTCGGTCAGACTTTAACCGTGCTCTTATTTTTGGCAGGATTTTTAACAAATTAAATTCTGAAAAGTGCTTTATACAAAGAGTTTTTCTTGGTGGGGAAGAAAATATGCAATATACTAAATTAATTGCTTGTTAGATTAATACCCCAAAAACATCAATTAATCAGCAAAGAGTCACTGATTATTAGCTAGACATGTCAAGAATCAGGTTCGCAAACAGAGCTAGACTCTAAACAAACAGATATATACCAACTATATTTTTTTGGCAAATTTACAAATCGAATTAGTCATATAATCTAAAGAATCACATTTCTCATGAAATCTAAAATGGAGTGTAAAATGCTATTTCAAAAATAGTCGAGAAATCCTTCATACATCTATGCTCATATGCTATTTATGCAATGCATTGAACTCACCTGAGCAATGTCTCCCAGCTTAACAATCACTGAACCCTCTTTCATCTCATACTGCAAACTCACCACAAAAGGATAACACTTCCCCTTCTCAATCTCCCCTCCTTCCTCCTCCTCCTCTTCTTTGATCACAGAAATATCGGTATCAATAGTATCAGATGAGAACCATACCAAACACTTAGGCTCAATATCTCCCTTATGAAAAGGATTCTCAAGTCCAGAGGATGACAATATCAACTCCACAACCTCTAATCCTACCCTCTCCAATTTCTTCGTGTAATCACTCACACATTGAAAAGCATCAAGTTCAGAAGAACTTGTATCGAACACAAGAACATCTTGATCATGGTGGATGAACCCGAGAGGGGAGTGAGTACTGAAACTACGTCTAGAGCGTAAGAGAGATTCAGACTCTTGGATGGCACGACTGAAGAGGTCGGAGGATATGCCATGGTTGGTGAGGTGGAAGAAACCGATATCAGAAACTGCAGTCAGGAGGAGATCATGTTGAGGATCAACAAGGGAGATGACGAGAGGAGGTGGAGGTGATGACTTTTTGGCGAAGCGAGGAGGTAAGGAGGACAAGGAAGGAGTTTTTTGGTTTAAGACAAGTTGGTTGAGGAAACGGGATAACACCACATCAGCATCGATGGAGAAGGGTTTTGAGATGGATTGGTTTGATGGTGTAGGTGGTGGTGGTGCCGGAGAGTTGCTCTGCTGGCTGGAGGTGGAGGAAGCCATGGTGATATAATGAAGTAAGAGGAAGAAAAGAAAAATGTGTTTCAGTGCGTTATTTGGGCATTTGGGAGTCTGCCCTTTAACATCAATAAGAAATCAAACCATAGAAAATCATTTAAATAATAGTTAATTGTAAATATACTATCTGTACTATGATAGCATGGCCACGTGTACCCGAACGATTTTAGTAGCACTTAACTCTCTCAACTTCGAGCTAACATAATTTTTCTCCCCTTTGATTGAGGTGTCACGTGGGACTCACATGATGATAAATCACATTTTTTCTTCAAGCTAACTTTAAAAAGGACTAAATTGCCACTAAATTGAAGGGAAATTTTTGGTGTCACCTAAATTTCAGGAGGTGTAAGTGCTACTTAAATGGTTTATGAGGTACAAGTAGCTGTCAAATATAAGGGGTCTATTGGCAATTAACCCATCAAATAAATAGAAAATTGACAAGGTAGTGGAGACGTCATAAGCTGTATTCTCCCAATTAATCAATAAACATGACATCAAATGACTTTAAGTATTCACAACGCCATTCTCTCTGTATACAATTGTGACTTTTGATGTATGGTGGTGGACAGGTGGGCAGATTTTCCTGACTTTTTCGAAAGAGAATATTAATAAAGTAATATAATCTTAATTATAAAAAGGAGAGATTTTTCCAAACAGGTGACAATGAGTGAAAGTTGTGATTTGCTTTTGTAAGTACTAAAGTTCTTTACTTATATTATGCCCCCGTGTGCTTTTAGTTTAAAGTTCAAACATCCTTAGTCATTATTAAGCAACAATTGACAAGCTCCACTTAGACCAAAACTCTATCAAGAAACCTTAGCTGGTTCACAACACAAATAAGAATAGTTGCTCGTTTCATGGATGTCTCCTCGAACTTCTGGAGAGAGAAGTACAGTTGTACGCTCTTTTGTTTTCTCATCACTTTCAAGACTAGAAAATTTATATATTGGAGAACTATTTTGATATTATATCTGCACAATTCCTTTACATAATACTGATCCTTGCCGATGATCTATAAGTAATTCTGCTGTAGTGAACTCTATAGAACTTAGGAACATTTTTCTCTAATTTTCGAGCTATTTCAACACTCCATGGCAGATAACAATGGATCCTATATAATCAAACTTGACCAGCAGCTTTAACTTTATGTAATATTTGCCCACAACTGCTAGACAGTAGTGTTGTTGGATTAGCTAACAGCCTCTGGGGATAAAGAAGTCTAAAAGCTACATTTTATTTTTCTATTGCCAGGGATATGCAAGGCCATCTCTATAAGCAAGTATATAACTAGTTGATACTTGATAAATGACATTTTTTTATTACTGATTTCGATCCATGCCTCTACATTTCTAGGTGCTATGTTTTATCAAAATCAGCCAACTAAAACTCAGTCTCTCTAAGTGCTATATCAACCTAAAGATGGAGGTAACTTGCGGATGATACAAATTAAGTTACAAAAATTAGACCTCTTCCTCATTTAGTGTCATTTGCATCATGAATTAAATACAACTTTAAGAAATATCCACAAGTAGGAGTATACCAAACATGCCATCTAGAAGGAAACATCAAATACTTTACAACTTATGGTAAGCTCCCGTTCGGTGAAGATTGGCGGTGAGCAGAGAATAAAAGGCTAATTATTCAAGAAAGTTTCTGCAGCCTATTTTCTGCCGCACATGATATTATGACTTGCTGCATAGAACTAACATAAATTTTCAAAAGAAGGACGGCGATAAGCTGAGAATGTCTAGATTATTTGGAAGATCAGATGCCCAGCTTCAACAAAGTTGGAGAAAATATCACAGTGCAAAATCTAACCACTCCTTTTAGAGATTTATTGGCCTTTGTTACCCATGAAATTGATATTTCAATTGGTACAACATAGAAACGCGCTACTCTGTTATAACGGAAAAGAACCAAATGATGAAGCAACATTAAACGACTGAGAGAATCTTGTTTGGTTGAGGAGAGGACTAGGATATAAGGGAACTCAAAGGAGAAAGGGGCGGCTGAGCGTTTGAGTCCTAGAAGCGCCAACCTATTTGGTGACAATAGCTTCAAATTACATGGAAAACAATGGGATAAACCGCAGTATCACAAATAAGACAGCGAGTGACAGGACATAAAGCCTAACAACTAATCACATTTATACCCACATTAAACTAATATTTAAGGTAAGGGTCAGCAAACCATTCAAGATGAAACCTCCTCCATACTGACTCCAGTTTTCAAACAACACAAGCAAGCGTAAACTCAACTTATTCAAGAAGGTAGCTGTCACAGTGTATTCCAAATCAGTTTTCTGATCTTATTTGGAAAGACTTATCCTTAAGGTGTCATAGTGTATATCATATATGCCTACATCACTAGCACCATAAGATGCAGGCCTCAGTGGTCAAGAGAACAGCAGATTATCGTAGTATAGATGGCAGAACCATTAAATCAATTATCGAGGTAGACACTGAAGTAAAGAAAACAGGGTTTTCAAGCTACATATTAGGCAGTTAATGATCTGGAACCATATTAACAGCTAAGTGTCTCAACCACTGTTTCTTGTACTGGTTTCAAAATCCCTGCTTGCCACTCAGAATCTAACAAGTAACTAACATGACATACAATAGATTACAAGTAAAAAGGTTTATTAATTCACAAAGATGATGGAATAACTTTAGATCATACCTTATGCCTAGGTTTACAAGGAAACTATTTCTTGAACAGTGTGGCGAGCTCTCCCTTCTCCGCCATTGCAGAAATAATATCACATCCTCCCAAAAGCTCCCCTTTTACAAAAACCTGAGGAAATGTCGGCCAATTACTATACTTCTTCAAAGTCTCCCTCAACCCAGGATTATACTCCTCATCAAGAACATCCACAGACTCAAAATCTACACCATGAGATTCTAATATCCCCACTACTCTCTGAGAGAACCCACATTGAGGTGCACTCCTCGACCCTTTAATAAATGCAACTACTTCCTTCTCTTTTACAAGTTGGTCAACGAGATCTTCTAGTGGGACAGTTAGCTGAACATGGCGACCTGGTGTGAAACGGAGATCTGGCTTCTTTTGGGGCTTCTTTTGGGGTTGCTGTGGGACCCATGTGTTGTTTCCCTTTTCATTACCAGGTGGTACTTTTCCGGTGGTTGCAATGTGTTCTTCCATCCATGATTTCCATGCGCCGGTTAGAGCTGCTCGATCAGGTGTAGCTCCATCGACTAGCCCTATCTGCAGAAATAAAAAAAATTTGAGTACAAAATCCCTTATGCTTAGCATAAACATGATGTTTTGATTATTTTACTTCCAAGCTATTCCGACAGTTTGACAGCCTCGATTGATATAAGAATGAACAGCTGATCAACCACAGGAAATTCTTTTCAAGTTCCAAAATTCAATCCAATTCAGATGGGTGAAAAATGACAAGCTAAAGAGATTCAACAAGAGGAAGCGGAATCCTGGACCTAAGACACCTAGTTCTAATAATATTAAGCTTGAAAACTCCCAAACTGTATACTTGTTATCATTGTCAAATTTCAAGCAAAAAAGCATACCTCTTATAGAGTATTAGCACTAGTATTAGGTTGACAATCACATTAAATCCAAAAATCTTATGCTAGACCCGATCTCAAATTCATCCAAATCCCTTTCATGTGTGAACATACCTAATGAACCTTCACCTAAGGAAATCAAAGGTGTTATTCCTAATACCATCCAACATCTATAGGTGAATCTGATCCTGATCTCAAACAACATATATAAAAACTATGTCCATTTGCTACCTAACATAGGGATTCATCATCATGGGTTAAACCAATTTGCGTTCCTATCAGGGTGTACTACCTCCTGAGAATTGGTCTTTTGATACAAATTTGAGGGAATGCGATATCAGAAAGCTAATCTCTTGAATGATGTTCAGATTAAAATACAAATTTTTGGAAGAAACTTCTCTTTACATCTAACAAACAACAGATAGAAACCTCCAACAACTCATACTATCAAATAATGTACGACAAAGCTACCTCAACCCAAGTACACGAAGATACATTATTGATATGTGATCAGCACCTTGGTTTTATATTTGATAAAATAAAATACTTTCTCTAGTTCCGAAACAAAGTAACAAAATTAAAGTTCATTTTAACACAGGAACCAAGTTCACTGAACACATCCAACTTAAACAGTCTCCAACTTGGCATGCAGCTGCCTTGTAATCTCTCAAATATTCTTCATATTCCATAAGAATACATCCGAAGATGAAAGTTTCCATGGTGAATAATCAACTTAAACTAAACTCTTAACAATTATACTCACTGGAAATGGAACTAGCACTTTCATCCACTATCTTTTCTTTAAATTTTGAGAAAAGGTGTCAACTTTGTGCCTTTATATTGAATTTCAGTGAAAAAATTCGCCTCCTTTTCCCTTTCCCTCTAACCAAATCTATATTCTGACATTTCATTATTGTTTCATCATTAAAGCGGAGAAAGTTTTCTGACATGAACACCAAAGAAATCAATAAAATTCACAAAATAAAAAATAGAAAAAGAAAAAGAAAAAAAGAACCCTAACCTTAACAGAAGAACAAAGCTCAGCGCCGAGCTTGCTACGATGAGCCTCAACACTGGCAGCGACATTTCTGGAGATCCCAACGAACTGAAGCTCCCCGTTCTTGTCATAAACCCCATAAACCCCGGACCCATTAGGGAACTTACCGGATCCGGGTTCAGACGAAACGGGCAGAGGATCCGCTTCCGAGAGCTTGGGAACTGCTCTGACGACGAGAGAGACGGCGGAGGGTTTGGGGGTCAATCGAAGAGGGTAGGGTCTGGAGAGAGGGAAGGAGACGAGGGATTTCGATGGGGGTTTGGGGGAAGGGGAGGTGAGCGAGGGGAGAGACGAGAGGGGGTGGAGGTTTGAGAATTGGATTGAGGAAGCCATTGATTGAGCTCGAGAGATGGAGATAGAGTGGAGTTTGGACGCGGTCGTCAGAATCCACAACGAAAGAGAGCAGGGGCTTTCGTCGTTAGGCCCTTGAATCTTTAATGTTTTGCAATAAGGCCCCCCCAAATCACTGAAATTGCTATTAGGTCCCCAATTTTGGATCCAAGGGATAACGTCAGGACACGTAGGTACCGTTTGGCAAAGGGTTAAGTGAGGGGTTAAGGAGACTTAACCTCTTCTTAACCTGTCAAACACAACAAATCTATATAAGGGTTAAAGTGAGTTAACCCTCCATAATTTGCCAAACATAAAAAATATAGAAGGGTTAAGTTAACCCCTCTAGAGGGGTTAAAATGAGTTAACCCCTCAAAAAGAAGGGTTTACTAATACTCCTATTTAGATGGAATAAGAGTTAACCCTTCTAATTATAAAGAAAATAGTCAAAATCATTATTATTCCCAAACACTAAAACTGATCATAAGGGCTAAAATAAAACTTATTTAACGGGTTAATAATTTAGTCCTTTGGATTATCAAATGGGCTAAGTACATTAATCATTCTCTTTAACCCATCTTCATTAACCCTTTGCCAAACGGGGCCGTAGGGTTCTCACTTTCACATTAGTTGTTTTCGACAAAATAAGCAATTTTGAAATGTGATCATGACAATACGCATACGCGCAGTTGGAATAATACATCAATCCAAACACGACCATTATAATGCAACTACTAAATTTGTTGCTCTAACACCCTCTGACCAAACATATCAGAAATCGCTATTAGATCCCCAATTAGAGTGTGTAGTAATTGAGGGACCTCATAACAATTTGGATCCTCAATTTGTGTGTATCGCAATCGAGGGACCTGGTAACAATTCGGAAGACACAGTAATTTCGTCACGCTTTCGAGCGAGCGGTAAATGCCCGCTTGACGATTCCTGCGATGCTCTTTCACCATTAAAACCTTAAAATCCTTCATCATGAGCGGTAAAAAGTCTCTGTTCAAACAGCTTTACACAAAAGTCCATAACATAGTCAAGTTCTGCGAGAACATAGCAACCAAAATTTCCGTGATCGACGAGAACTGAAGCAACATTTATGAGATTTTCACACTTTTACATATATCATAATAATCGTGTGCCTTTATACAAAAAATATTAAGCTAATATGAAATTATCTCTGCTCTCCCAGGAATCGAAACTTATGAACCGTACAGGAGAAGAATGAAATGTACTGTAGCGCTTGCAATTTATGAAAACTTCCCCGTGTTTTATATGCGAGTGATATCGCGGCCAAATAGCAAAGTAGTGAGCCAGTTGACTGCAACGTAGAATCGGTTTCTCCAACTGATCACACGGGTTAGATACGCTGATCGCCAAATAAACCAGCTGACGAAGCCTGCAAGTGATAGCCCTTTTGCTTCCTGAAGATGCATAGTGAATTGGTTAGTTTATTTTCCGAGAAGATGGAAGTTTGTTGCGTGTAACAAACCATGAACTCCTCAAAACACAAAACTAGTGATGCACTGAGAGACTTTAAAATGACATCAGCGCAATCTAGATTCAGATACTACCAAACATACATTTAAATGAATTAAAAAAAAGGAATCCTACCGTAAAGTAGTTTATGTTTCGACCCATGAAAAAGGCTTTCAACCTTCAGGAAACACATCAGTATAGAAAATTATATTGCTCGACCCTCACCATAGTTTAGATGCGGTGAAAGTGACTTTAACATAGTATTAAAGCCAGCTAAGTTCAAATCCTATCAAGCATGCACTGATACAGATTTGAAGTGATCTCACGGATAAAACAATCTAAGAATGTCCACATGTTTAACTTTGCAGTTTTAGTAGAAGAGGCTTTAAGAAGATTAAAACGACAGGATCAAGTGCAGAAAACTAACCTTGCTCTGCCTAAGATCAACAAGAGCCTTGTACCTTCCCACTGTTGCCATGCTACCCAAATGCTTATATACAAACGGCTCCCCCAATTTCATGTCTGCTGCTTGGTTAGCATACCCCCCACCTTCTTTACCAATCCGGTTCAACAATGCAGCCAAGTATTTCCCTTGCCTCTCTGCGACCTGCTCATTAGATTGCCATGTATTCAAAGAAATGAAGTGACGAAAATTCAAAAGAATGACCCATATCTTGAAATCCGAGTATACAAGCATAAAGTAGACTAGGTCTTGAATAGCAAGTTGATATGAATTGAAGACCTCTCATTTTAAATGCTTATACAATTTCAAGCAGGTTCTGCCACTATCTTGAACCCTACACCTCCAACCATAATATTTGTTCATGAGCATAAAGCCACACAATCAAACATTAGATCGATTGAACACCAGATACTACATCGACATTTTTCCACTATGCGGACGGATCCATTGTCCAAGAGCTACACAATAATAATCAATGTCGAAGTACAATACAACTAAAGGTAGCATGGTATTAGCTGACCTGGGCCAAAGCGGGTAATGGAGGTTTGCCTGTGCTCTCAAGATATCCACTACAATCACCAATCGAAAAAACATCCTTCACAGAAGGCACGCGTAGCCAGTCATCCACACCAATCCTGTTTTAAGTAATATATGAAGTGGTAAATATATGAAATTCATGCACCCATAATGTTCATTAAAGGATTAAAAGTTTCTAGCATTAAAAATTAAACATTTGATTAAAGCGCATACCTTCCACCAGGGGCTTTTGGAAACTCCAGAGAGCGAATGAAGGGCGAGGGACCAACACCAGTAGACCATACAAGGAGACCATATGGAACTTCTGTGCCATCATTAAGAACTATCTTATGAGGTTCGACATCCTTGACAACTCCATGGACAAGGCGAACTCCTGACTGAAAAACAAGAAGGGGAAAGTGTCAAATATAATAATTCAGATGTCACAAATTCTACCTATGGCAAACATAGCACCACCCTTTAAGTAACATATACATAGACGGGAGTATAAAACTAGAAAAAAAATTCTACAGAAATGAATGTTATTCAAATATATATTTAATCTGGAGTTGAAATCAAAACTAAGCAAATCAACAAGTAATCATGGATGCTCAACAGACAAGAAGCGTGTAGCCAAAAGCAGGTCTAATATAAAGGCGAAAGTACTTTTCACACCTAAATGCAATATCAGATTCTACTTAAAAAAAGTCAAATATCAATACATTAATACTAGGTTCTGACAGATCAATAATCTGAAGTATCAGGTAAAACAAAATTGACTTTCAAATTTTTTTAATTGTAACAAAGTGCTTGTAATTGATATGAAATACTAATATAACAACATGTGAAATTATATACTTTCAAAGCAGGGAATCACACACCTTAATTAAATGGTTCGTAGCATACTGCCTGAGGCGAACATCAAAGGATGACAATATTTCATTTGCCTGCCATGAGAGAAAATTTACAATTCAAAACTTCTGTAAATAAAGAAGATTTTTCTGAAAAACGGCGATCCGGGCTATATTATTAACAACTCAACTGAAAAGAAGTAACTTGATCATACAAACCATGCAACAACAAACAAAAGTTGACCATGTAAGACACATGTAAGATCTTTAATGAGTATATACCTCAATTAGGGTCACACGGATGTGATCTTTAACATGGGAATATCTTTCATGAACATCATTTATAATGAAATCACTGAGTTCACCACTGAATTCAACGCCAGTTGGACCACCTCCAATAACAACACAATGCAGTAATCTACTTTTTTCCTCTACAGATATACCTGCATCAAAGTTCATACTCATATCAAGATTGTACATAAAACTAATATATAGAGCTTCGGTTATCAAGATGCTGCCAAAAAGCATTTTGGATATGATGCAGCAAATACTCAAATTTGATTGAGGCATGCTTGATAAGAGCTGACACATCCATTATTCCAGATTCCTACTTTAACAATAATAGCCAGATAAAAGAAAAGGCATGAACTATAAAATGCCAATATTTAGGAGAATAAAATTCTGTTTGGTTCCCTAGTTTATGTTTGTGCCATCTTATTATCACCTTCATCTAGACACCTTTTCACTCTATGGGAGAGCCACGCTTCATGGTTACATGAGCTTAAAACACGACAAAGAAAACAAGGTGGACTACCTACCAACTCAGGATGAAGGGATTGATGGACATACTTGGACGACATTTCTCCGCCATCAGAAAAATTCATGCAAAACATTCAAGTTCATTTACTAGTGTGTTATGAGTCTACATCACATCTCCTAAATCCCAGTCTAATTGTCTCAGAAAATATCTTAGCAATACAGTCCAGGTGGATCAATTGAGCAATCGACATCACGAAGCATCGAAATCTGATTCTAAAAATACTCTGTTAAAAACTAGCTCGGTAATAAACAAAAATTAAATTAAAACCATAATAAACAATGAAATATACAACTTAACACCATTTAACACCCATTTTTCCTAAAGACATACCAGGCACATCAGAGAGCATCAAATTGAGGAGCAACCTCCGGCGAATCTCTTGGGCATGGTGAACTTCACGTAGAAAGGTTGCATGCTCCTTCACACCTTTAATCCCAAAGGTTGAGGCCTCGGCCCCCGACGCAATGATCAGCTTGTCATAAGCCACATTGAACTTCCATGGCTCCAAGCTGTCTGAGTTGCCTCCATCAGTAACAGTTTCACAATTCACCTATATAGCAACATAAAGGTTCAGCCTTGCAGAACGAAAAAGATTCTCAACATCATAGTACAGAAGGTTCCGATTCAACTATCAAAACAAAATTTAAATAAGCCCTCTTCATTTAGAATATTTATCAATAAGTTCCAGGGGCAATAGGGCCTTAGCCCTTATAATTATTATTAGGGAATTATAAAGGTGGAAGAGTAGGATACAGGAAATGGCCACATGAGTGTATCTCTCTGCCGAGAGGTACCAAGAACAAGCTAGGCTGAGTTGTGGATGATTTTCATCTGGACACTGAATTGTCTCCTTTAAAGAATATCTCTGTAGATTCTAACTTTCACTATTTCTACTGATCAATTTTTCACTAGACTTTTCTATCACATTGCTCCAGCAAAAGTAAAAAGTTCACCAACAGCTCTCTAAGTTCCTTTCCATTCTAAAAAGGGTCCAGAAAAAAAAAAATCTTCATTCCAGCCCCACAAGATCCTCGATAAAGAAAAAAGAATTTTTCTCAGCAAAATCAGGAAAGCATTATTCTTCAGAGGGGGAAAACGAATCTTTAATAAACCGATTCTTAAAAAAAAATTTGGGTGGGGGAGCGCGGGGGGGGGGGGCGGGGGCAGGGGGGTTGTGGATATTCGCCCCCACCAACCATTAGACTCAAAAGACCATCCTTTCGACAAATTCATGCGAAAATCTAACAAGCCAGTTCAACGAATCGCTGTGTCACACCCTAACCAAATTCAACTGACCAGTGTGAGTCTCCGGGATCGATGCCGACACATTTCACACGACAAGAAAGTAGGACCCAAGAGGCGTGGAGACGGCGGGCTGGATCCTGCCGATGGCTTGCGAGCGACGGCAGCGGAACTTAGGGTTCCGACGCACGTGGATGCGCCAGCAGCGCGTGAACACCATTGTTGTTCCTCGGCGCACGCAGCGACGTCGTATGATCTCGGTGTCTTATCCCTTCTCATCCGGAACCGGCCAGCCGAGTAGCCAGGACGACGACGCGGGGCTGTCCTTCGTTGGGTGGTGGGGCCCAGGCCCTTCGAGGGAGCTCGCGGTCCTGGGGCGATGACTGGCCGGATGAGCGTGGTGAAGGTTTAGTTCGGGAGGGATGAGGGAGCTCGGGGAGGCGGAGAGAGCCGGAGAGACGGAGCGGAGGAACGCATGAGGTGGGCGGGGAGCAGAGAGCGGAAGGGGGGGGAGAGGAGAGGGGCGGATATTAGCAGGACGGTGGTGACGTGGGCGGGGGGACGCGGTCCACGGTAGCGGGTAAGCAGAGGAGGAGATGGGCACGTGGCCCCACGCGGGGAGGGTATTTCGTTGCGTTCAATTGTTTGATGATTGCCTAATAATGCCTTCATTCTCTTTCCTATTGCGGTTCCGAACGGGGTTTGATGTGCGCCAAGGACCTCGGAGGGGGCGGCGCTGATCTTTTTTTTTGATCTCGGGAAACGATTTCACCGCTGACGAGGGACTAAAGGCTTAAGTCACATACGCGTGTTTTGCAGTATTAATAACCTTGATTAGAGTTGTCTTTTTGGCGAGGCGGAGTTTATGCGAGCGGAGTGCTCATGAGCTTTATAACTGTTAAGATGTTTTTGGTCGTCAAAGTACGGTCATTTCACAGGCAAACGGAACAGGGTCTCGCCCTACATTACACCGCTCAAGATCAAAATTGACGACGATCAAGGAGCCAATCCAAAATCCCGACTTAGCCGACCACGCCCAGTCGGCATCTCCTTAGTCGATTTGAAGGTGTACTTGTCGGTTCTTTCATTGAAGACGCACTCCTTACGAGCCACGTCGACTATTATTCAACACCGCTGCGGCTGCGGCGAGTAGAAAGGTGTTACTTCTCGACAAGCTAAAGACGACTTCAACTCGAGCCTCTTCCGCTGACAGCGCGTCTACGCATATATTAAATCTTTACAGCCATCATCATTCCTCTAGCCTCAGTTAGTCTTCACGAATATCGGACCCACGATCGGCACGTCATATTCCTAATCAACTTGTATTTAAATACTAAGCGTGACATAATCCCTCCAACTCGTCGATCGACACCTGCTAAGTAGGTGCTGACGTCGCGACAGACCATACTCTTTGTCGTCATCCTATACTCGCTGGATTAATCATTCTACCCTTTTTCCACACTAATAAATAAGATAAACTATTCTAAATACCAATAGAGCAATTTTCTAAGCAAGCATATCTGAGAATTTTACCGCACTACATTAAGAAACTCCACCAGCAGTTCATCATATTTCTCACTCAAGTCCATCAACTGACTTGCATCATCGGAGAAAACGGAGAACTAATCTCCATCCTCTCACGAATTGCTATTTGTACAGGCTGAAGCTACTCAACTCAAAATCAGATATTCGAAAAAGTTGAACGGCTCCTAATCAACCTCACCGTCTATTATATATTTGTTTAATTTTAACATCAACAATAACTTTATAAGGAATTAACGCCAGATGTCTAAATTACTTCCTACCTCCATGATCGATAAGGCTTGAAATAGCCATCACACATGACGAAAATTTTTATTATAGGTACATCAAAGAACGCCGGATACAAGTAATCAAAGGCTGCATGGAAACTACGAACGTCACAGCGCATGCTGTCAGGTCTCTCAACTTAATGTAAATCTGATCCGTTCACTCCGTTTTTAATAAAGCTATATAACATTCTAGAATAATTCGATTATTAATTAGATAAGTGTTACCGGTGGGACAAGGTGCTTTCAGAGCACTTGACAGCAAAAAAAAAAAAAAAAAGAGCCATATTTGGACTTTGTAAAGGTAAAAACTCACCGTATGAAGCCTCATGATCAACGTTCGGTACCACTTGGCCAGAAAAAAGAACGACCCGGGCACCGTCGATATCGCCGGCTGCGATGCGACCGATTGGCTCGGCACGGACCGGGAACTCAGCAGTCCCGACGCATTCGACGCCAGCAGCGGCGTGAACACCATGTGCTTCCTCGGCCGATATGCAGACGACTGTTCGTACACGTCGGCGCCGTCGATCTCTTCATTAGCCGGCTAGCCGCCCATCCTGTTGCGAGGACGAACACGCGGGCTTCTCCTGTGGGGACGTCGGGCAGGCCGCTTGAGGGGCGTCGGTGGGAGTTTGGGTAGAGAAGGATGGTGGAGTGGATTTGGCGGAGAGAGAGGAGAGGGAGCGAAGGCGGGGAGAGCGCGAGAGCAGGGAGAGCAGAGAACGGAGGAACGCCATGAGAGGGAGAGAGAGCGCGCGCAAGATCGAGAGAGTTTCTTTTGGTTTTTTTTGAATGGGAGGAGGGCCAGGAGGTGGTGACGTGGCGGGCTGAGGCGGGCCCGGTATCGGGTACTAGGTGAGAGGAGAGTTACTTGTGGGCCTGCCGAGGGGCGGTATCGGGCCAGAATGTGCGAATATAGGCGTTTTTTCGGTATTGTAACTAAATATTTCTATTACGGAAGCCATCGGCCAAAGTTCTCGGGGACCTTTTCTTTTCTTTTCTTTTTTTTCTTTTTCTCCCTTTTCCCCTTTTCTCCCTCCTCTGTCAGATGTATTCCGACTGGCCGCTTTGATCGTCATGTGGAGCCAAATTCCCAAAAAAGGCCTATTTTTCACTTTTATTTAAAAAACGATTGTTTCAGGGGCTGAAACAAAATGAGTCGTTTTTGCGAAAAAAATGTTCCCAAACCTTCACGGGAGTTGAGACTCCCGCCTAAAGTTTTGTTTATTGAAAAAAAACTTCACGGGAGTTTAGTTTACTCCCGTGAAGTTGGGAATATTTTTTCGTTAGAAAACGGACCCAGTTTCAGTCCTAGACTAAACTAAGTTTAGTTTTTTTTTTGTAAATATTTTCAAAACAGGTATTTTTGGAATATTTTGCAAAGATGTGGTTTTAAAATTTTCTACCCTCATGGACGAACTTGTATGCGATGAACATGATCATATAGTGAAGATCACATAAAGTTTCATAATAGTTATAAGACGCCCCCCAAAACATATCGAAATAAGCAATTAACTATGTGTAGGTATATTGTCAATCCTACTGTCTCGTGTGTTCCTTTCCCTTGGCCCTAGTTTATTTTTACTTTGCGAAAAACCATAGCCTGACTATTTAGTTTCAGTGATTTTTCTTCTATTTAATGAACTTTGACTTTAAATTTCCTTATGATTAATTTTTAGTTACTAATCACCGATAAAAAAAAAAAAAAAAAATATCAAGAAAATAGCATCTTGTATTAGACACTCATTTACCAAACACTCAGGTCTGTATCATACCCCTCCAAAGGTTATCATTCTCTAGATCCACGCTATAGCATAAGACAATAAATGCATCATCGATAGAATGAGATAATTTTACCTTCACGAACAGCTTAAAAAGATTAAGTGCAAAATAATAAAATCCTTATGTACTGGCAAAAACCATCACGCCTCTTATAAAGAAATCGTTAGAGGACACGCATGAATGGCACACCTCCTGCTCCACTCCCCACCTGCTATAAGGCCAGGGGTCCAACAGGAGTTTTTTATAAAAATCTCCTGTGAGCCTCCTGCAACTGTAGCAGTGGGGCGAGTGTGACCGGAGGTGTGACCTCATGTGTGTGCCTCTAACACCGCTCCTCTTATAAAGCTGGTTTTAATAGAGTCCATGTTCCATATCACGAGCCCATCAAAAAGTTTAGCAGGGAAGTTAGCAGCGCAACAGCGGATCAGATTCGAGCCATAATCCATATATCACTAACTATTAACAAAAGAAAGATATCCCCTTGCCGACAAAAGCAGAATATATCCAAAATACAAAACAATTGTCAACAATTGTTCCTCCTCATATGAAAACAAAATACCCAGTTGATCAACTGCACAACAGTAGCATAAAACTGGCTTATCCCAACAATATTCGAGAGATGATCAATCAGTACGCACTGGAGTAGTTATAATCATTCACTTTATCAATTTCTTACATCCTTAGAAATTTTAACAGAATTTTCACCTGTACATACAACATTCACCATAAACTTTTCAAAAAAAAAAAAACGACACGCAACGTGCGCAATACTCCAAAAAACTCATCAGACTATTCAAATTACACTAGGAACTTAAAACATTAACCTATAACATAAATAAGGCACGGATTCTTCATTTATTTAACCCACAGACCCCTCAAGCTGAATGCTTCATTCAAAGCATAACCTCTGACGCAAACTTAGGGGAAAGCTTATCGCAGACATCCCTA